TGGGTCAGGTTAGTAGCAAGTTCCTCACAGTTTGCCTTCTTGGTGACGAAGATGAGAACTGAGCCTGTGGACGTGAACTCGACCAGCCGCCGGGTCAGCCAGCCCCATTTGTCTGTCGCACTGGGCAGCATCTCCACCATCTGGGTCACATCCTCATTGGCCTGGTCGGAGAGAACAGCAATTAAAACATGAGATTTGCAATACTGACACCAGAAACATTCAACTTTTGCTGCTACAATAGCTTAAACTAGTTTACCAGAAAATAGTTCAAAGCCAAACATTACTTTAAATTTGAAGCACTGTAACTGTATTTAAGGTGTTTTTAGCCTTAAATTTGTTTTGAGACACACTGAAAAAGGAATAAATGAGCAGATTTGTCTCTTTGTGTAGCTAGAGCTCTAAACAAAAAAAATGTTTTTGTTTGCAGATAATGCGTGACGCTAGTTACCTCTCCGATGTCTCCCTGCACCACACGAATAGGATCTACCAAGATGTCTCTGGCAAGCCTCTCTATCTTCTTTCGGAAAGTAGCACTAAACAGAAGGGCTGTGAAGGAAGTCATATTAAGAATTATAAAACACTATTTATGAAAATGAAACATTGCCTTTAAACTAGGGAAACCCACTTACTCTGCCTGTCTGGGCGGACATGGCTTGCGATGGATCTAACCTGATATTCTGAAAGGGAAAAGAGAAATAAGTTGGAGTGCACAAAACAAGTTTAGAACATCTTTGATGCAGCACTGGTGATGTCTAACCCACCAAAGCCCATATCAAACATGCGGTCTGCCTCATCAAACACCAGGTATGTCACTCTCTGCAGGGATGTGGCCTTCTTTTTAACGTGGTCAATCAGACGACCCTGTGCAAACACACAAATGGGAAACCTCAGATTTCTTGCAGCAGTGGAGTATACATTTTCTTCTTAGAAGCCAGGTTGAAGATAACATTTGGTTGTGTTTTCTCTTACCGGAGTGCACACTACAATCTCTGCTCCCTCCTGTAGAGCTTTGGCCTGCTCCCACATGCTGCCTCCTCCATAAACTGCCACAGAACGCAATGAGTAGGCTTTCCCAAAACGCTTACATTCTGCATGGATCTGGAAAACATTTAAAATGACACACATTAGTACAATGTATTTCTGGTTAACACCACAGCAAATATCCTTTATGCATTCACAAAGCCTGACTCAGTCCCTTCTCATTTCTTACCTGCTGACAAAGCTCTCTGGTGGGACACACAATGATTGCGATGGGCCCTTCTCCTGCCTCTAGTTCTTTTTGGTCCATGATGTGAACCAGCATGGGCCAGATAAAAGCTGCAGTTTTGCCACTACCAGTCTTTGCAATACCAATCATGTCACGTCCGGACAGAGCTATGGGCACACCCTAAAATCCAGATTAAGAGCAAAAGCAACAAGGAGTCTTCATGAAATCATTAAAGAAAACCAGTTAAATTTCAATAATATTGCAACATTAAGATAAACTTGCACAATACCTGGCACTGAATTGGTGTGGGCTGAGTGTATTCTGACTTGCGAATTTGGTGCATTAGCTGCTCATCAAAGCTGAAATGGGCAAAACTTGTACAGGGTTTTGGAGGGGCAGCACCAGATACCTGAGAAAAACGCATAGAAGAAGCAGAAAATCAAAACAATTATCATGATGACAACAACAGTTTACACACAATGAAGGCCTGTGTCTCCAAAAACTATTCTCCCCAAAGTCACCACAGCTGGAAATGTTGCTAAAAACTGAAAGTGACTGAAACATGTGTATGATTTCAGCAGTTAAACATTTATATACTAGCGTGCATAAATACCACACGTACCCTCAAGTTCAGTTTCTGCCTCAACTCCAATGCTTGAGTTCCAGTCAGGTTGCTGAGCTCCTCGTGCTCGTTGTAGAAGTTTTTCTCAAATGGTGGGTAATCAATCTATAAAAGAAAAAAACAAAAATATTTCAGCAAAATCTCTCATATTACACACTTTAAAGACAATAAATGTTGATATGTGGTTAAGACAATATTCTTTAGCTGTCTGTGTTCAATCAGTATTGCCAACTGCACCTCAGAGTGGTCAATGGGAGGAAGTGGTAAAATGATTTTCTTGGTGGTAGGGGCGATTGGGTTCCCGTCACTGTCATAGTCAATGTTTTCATCCTCTTCCTCTTGGGTCAGCCCAGCTGTGGGATTCTCTGCCATGTAGCGAAAGTAGGCTTCCTGCAGAGAGCACAGCGTTTCATGTGAAAAACAGAGTCGGTTTGCTGCGTACCACAGCCTCCAGCCACCAGTAACTCACAAACACCTGAGGAGACATTCAGCTTTATAACAGAAGGATTAGATTACAGTTCACAATTTGATATCAACTATTCAGTAACTTGTCACATGACATAAATGAACAATTAAACATGCTTTTTTTTTTTTTTCACACTTTCTAAACAAGATGAATAATCTACACAAAAAAAACAAAACATTTGCATCATAATGATCCTAAATGCAACTTGCATGGTCTGATAGAGGAGAGGGCAGGGGGCTTTATAGGATTAGAGAGGATATTTCTAGGGAGTATTTGGTCTGGAGACCTCTCTGATCAACGATGTAGTGGATGAAGAACTTTGGAGGGCTCACTCACTTGTTCATCTTCTTCTTCAATGTCATCACGAATACCCCTGAAATGACAAGCGGAGAAAAAAAAAAACTTCCCTGCGGCTCGTTCATACACCCAAGACAGCCCACATCCCATTATGACTAAGGTCACTCTGCTTACCTCTTTATATTTATTAAGCCAGCAAAAACTTTGCTGGTTGTGCAATTCGTTGTGCCAAAATTTGGAGAAACTTAGTATATGATTTCTGCATAAAGCTACATTTCTATTGGTAATTAAAACATTTGTAAAAGCAGTGAATTGTACAGGATTTAAATATTCAATTAACAGTATGTATGATTATCCCAGATTAGTCGGCTTATACTTTCACTCATAATTTATGAATTCAGTTGTGAGCAAATATTTCTCCTTCTGGTCAATTTTCAATTTAAGCACCTACATGAGGACCTTAGAAGTGACTGAAAATCAAGTAAATGAAAACAATGTGAGCACATTTAAGTCTTACTTGGCTGTGTTTTTCTCCTTTTCTTTTTCCTCTAATTTCCTCATGTCTTTAGCTGCTTGGTTCTGGAGAAGAAAAAACATAGTTAGGGACAAACATCAGATTTCCTGGATGCGTACGTGTCTGTATATTGATTTATTTTATTACATTTATGTTATTCTATGGATTTAATTAAATGTTTCTACATTGCAAGAAGGAACTATCAACTTTTATTTCCACACACAACTTTCTGTATTTCCATTATTCCTTGTTTAAGTATTTGGAAGCATATTCTAGTTTGATTCTTCTTAACTGCAAAGTCTCTTCTCACCTCAACCTCTGCCATGAAGGCATCCAGTGGATCATCTTCACTGTCTGAGCCGCCACCAGACTGCATCTGCTGCCGTGTGGGCGAGTTCTCGGCTGGGATGTAAGGCAGATCAACGTTGCTGCTGGACTCCTCTTCGTCATCTTCAAAATACCTTGTTGAAAATCACAAAGACGCAGTTTTAGAATTATTCAATACCAGAAATAACAGTCTGCGCGGATCGTTTTTATCAGAGGTTGAACTGCATTATGTGTAAGTGGGAGAGATGTAATACTCACGCATTTTCCTCATCAAAATTAGCTCTCTTTGTCCCTATTTTATAGAATGATGGGAGCTGCTGGTTTTTCCCATATCCCCCACTTGATCCCGGGCCTCCGAACGACGTGTGAGATTTCGGAGCTTGTGGAGGTTCCTCTTTTTTTCCGGCGAGGGAAAATCCTCCAAACCCAAACCCTCGCTTCACACCCGGACCACCTTTGTTCCAGTTCATGTCTGTGCTGTGAAAACAAGAGAGTAAACCAAATGTTTAAAGTCTTAAAATGTGTCTGTTATTACACCAACAATGACACAATCACTTATACGTGGTTCTTAAATGAAGGTAATCCCAGTTAAATGCGACTCAACACTTGTGTGAATCATGGAAAACTCCTGCTAGTTTGCCATTTAGTAAACAAGAACCACTTATGGCGCGTGTAGTTTGGTGGACAATGATGGATTCACTAGAAAGATTATTCATAAAGCTAAATAGTAGACGACTCACTTTGCAAGAAAACCAACAGAATAACATATTATAATAACCTTTTATTGACAGGGACGTCCAGTAACGTTTGCTGCACACAGTAGAGACAACCATTAGGTAACCGATATAATATATGCATAGTAGCTTCATAATAAATAGATATACTTTATTTATCACGAGGGAAATTCAAGTATCCATACATACATTAAACATACATTAAACCTACAT